GTGGTGCCTCTGTTGCTGTGGCGACGGTGGGTGGAGCGGGAGGAGGGGAGGGTGGGACGGGGGATATGAAGAATGTAAGAAGTGGCATGATTTAAACTCGTGGTATCGCCGTTATGTTTCTAGAAGGCCGAAACGAGATAAGGAGGGAGGAAGGTTGGCCGTAGGCACTTTGTTGTCTGCTTTCCATACGGGATCTGGAGCCTTGAGGGAGTCAGATTGGAAGAAAAAAAGGAGCGCAGGAAACGTAGGGGAAAGTGCAAGGTGTTTCACCTGATGCGAGGATGCGATGGACATTAGAACTCAGGGTAGAGGATCGCCTTCTTGCCCCGCGTCCTGCATCTCATCCTCCTTTGAGGGGACAGTGCTCCTCGGGGTCCGGGGCTTGGCAGCCTCAGTCTTTTTCGAGGAACAGGACCGCTTCTTCTCTGTCTTTGCGTCCACACGCAGTGCAGCATCTTCTCACCGATTGCCCTGTTTTCCCCTCTAATATTGTCCCCCTTTTCTCCCCTCGGTCCCTACCGGTCCCAGCGTGATCGTCCCTGAAGATCAACTCTTCTTCTTCACTGCCATGACCAGCTGCATCGTTAGTCAAGAGGGGCCTCCAGGATCACGGGAAGTTGCCGTCCTTGTCCGGGTGAGTCTTACCCTCCTTCTTTCCCATTCCCTGCCCTTCCCTTCCCTTTCTTCCTCGTCCTGCGCGCTACCCCACCCAAGCTATCTTATCGTATCCTAATCTTACCCGACATTTTCTGCCCCGGCGACACGGAGGCATTCCGTGTGCTTCGCATCCTCCCATTATAATGGTGTTTGGTATCCTTTTCCAAGCACAGCGTCCTCTTCTCATGACTCATTCTGACGAGATCTCTTTTCGGCCAACGCTATACTACGTCACACCATACATTTGATCGGATACAAATACTTATTGGGCACATATATATGTGTTGCTTTTTTGGAAAAATGCATTCGTATTCACCCACTCCATCGCGCCCATTGTGTTTCCCAATCTTGTCATCCCCCCGTTCGCAGTGTTTTCAATACGACGGTGCCGAAGTCCTCTCTGAGGTGCGCTACCGTGTCCTGTACTCCACTCATGGCTTTGCACAAGCCTTCTCCATTCATCCACTGACATTCGACGAGGTAAGCAAGTGCATTGTGGGCGGTGAAAACCTAGATTTTTTTTCCTGTGCTCCTCTTAATGCTCTGTCTGCTACTCTGTCTTGAGACTGGTAATGACAGAAACAAAAAGTATTTATTGAGAAATGCCATACTTAACTATATTGTCCAATTTCAACAAACATGTTCTCTTTTCCCTTCTTGACGGAATCGTTGTCCATGCCAGACCCTGGCAGAAGAGGAGAAGCGGCGTCGAGAAGCGGCAAACCCAACACCCACCTGCCGTGTGTACACACCCTCTTAGGTAGAGACTCGAAACTCAAAGTAACGCGGCAAATATGAAGAACTGAGTTCGCGCAGAGACAACATAATGAAGAAATAGAGTAACGCTTGGCAGAGTGATAGAGAGAGATGAAAGGACTTGATTGCAGTAACTACAGCATGAATTGAATGTACTACGTTGGCACTAACTTAAAGCAACTGAATCGGTCCCATGTGAAAGACGACCCGAACAAGACACAATGGAAATAAGAGGGCTGATTCAAAGTCTTTATCGAGCGTGCATATATACGGCAAGTGAGAGTTGAGCGTGCACATATATTGCAAGTGTGATGTTGTCCTACGGAAAAACAAAGCTGGCCGCCAGCATGCAGTGTTACCAATCTAAATGTGCGATTAAGATTACTTTAGAATTGATGATCGCAACAGCCCCATACCAGTCAAGAAGTTTCAGCTCCCCGTTATCATAAAACACATCTTGTACGGCGTACATCGTGATGGTATGGTGTCGCATGCAATCTTATATGACGACATATTGGCAAACGCCTGGAAGGAGTCTGGTCATGCTGCTGGTCTACCCAATTCTTCCTCCACATTCACAAGCCACACGGACGATGTCACTTTCTTGCAGTGAAATCTTTCATGTTAAGGTGTTTTTTGCACTCCGAGGCAAGCCCACAATTTCCGAACCTCACCGAGAGGTGATCGAAAAAGGAGGCGGGTGTCTAATCCCAATACAAGAACTCGACCCGGCAACGCGCTGGCAGAAGAAAACTCAAGGAAGCTTCTCAAGAATACTTTTCACAACATCAAAGCGGTGTGACATGCGCTTGACGGGGCACCCATCCCTCAACATAACCATATGATTCAATGTGATGCAAGTGTGATTCCCCAACCGGAATTAGGAACAAGGAGACCCACTGAATGTCCCGCATCGGATTTATCATCCGTTCCTTACTCCGACTTGGGACTCCTGTCCGTAAATGTGCGTGTGACACAATAATTCGACTGCACTTCCCAAAATATGAAGTGGCTCGACTCTTCAGCATCAACCTCCCAACACGATGCACCAGAAAGTCCAGCGCATCGTCCGCCCGGTCTGAAGGACGGGAATAACTTCACCATATGGTTTTGTCGGGTCAATGTGCGGTTGGAAGGCCATGATGGACCTGGCAATGCATGCATCCTTTCCATGGTTGCACACAATATTTCTTCATGTATGTTCGTTTCTTTTTTAACCTTTGTGTCTACTGATGGCATCATAGGAGGCGACTAGTGACACGATTAGGACAGCTTTGGTGTCACTTTTGTGATCCTATTCCTGGACCATGGACACGAGCTCGCTCTCGCGAGGGACTCTCACCACCCTTACTTTCGTGTCCATAGCCGCTGTAGGGTGATGACTGTCATTAACATGCGCCTCTAGCACTTGTCCTGGGTACAGGTACACCGCGCGTTCGCTAAGATTCGCAACGAAAAAAAGTGCTCTTCCGCAGCTTCAAGGCCGCTGCCTCGAGCACGAGCGCTCTCGCCGCCCTGGGACAGGATGGATGACGTGAGGGAATCTAACCAGCAAAATTCCGATCACAACAGAAATGAAGGTATGACATCGCCTCTTAATCCTCTCAAGGCAGCCTGTCGGCCTTGCCGTCAAATAAAGGTACGCATGTTTGTTGTTTTTGGAAGTCCTGCGAGCTGCGAGGTAGCGCTAGCAGGGACCGAGATGAGAAGCACTAATGCCGACGCTCGCGGCGGACGGCAGACCAATTTTCAATTTGCACGCATACCTTACGTGATATCGAATGCCTGGTTGAGTGATTTATGCTGCGTGGTCCAAGTTTCTTGTAATATTCTGCTCGTTGAAGGAAATTGATTGACCCGTGATGCAGGTCATTTGAGCCATCCTCTCTCCGAAGGCGAGGTGCCTGATCCTGCCCATGTCTAATTAACAAATTTCCGGCCATTTGCCACAGATAAAATGTAATCGAGACAGTTGGCCGTGCGAGAGGTATGTTCTTTCAGAATTTCTCCGCGTCTATCCCTTCTCCTTGTTGTGTCGAGAATGATGAATCTTACTGTCTTCATCTCCTCTTCTCTTCCTTAAGTTTTTGTGCGTTTTTCTTCCCCGGAGATGACACCTACAAAAGCAGAAATCTGAGCGCATTAATGAACACTTTGCTTTAGAAATTTGGAGGTGGGGGACTGAACGAAGACTCCACGCAAGAGACGAAAAGCCTCTTGCATTACTTCGTGGCGCGAAAAATGAGTGTGGACCACCCCCTTATCCCTCACCTTCCTTTGCTTTCGTATCTGGGCCTTATCCTAGATGCCAACGGATGAGTTTAGTGTGCATACCCCAGGAGCGGGGGCGGGGCCGTCCACGGGGAAGCGTTCGAGGTAGGGGAAGGACAGCTGAAGGAGTGGCGGTAAAAAGTCATGCGGGTCCCAGGACCCGCGTGCGTGCGTGCATGAGTGTCGTGGAAGGAAAAATGTGAAGCATGCTGATGACCCTGGTTGGAGAATGCACTCCCTAAGGGAGGGGGAAGCGGTGGAAGTGCGGACCGGGAAGAAGCTTTCCGGCAGAAGGACAGTGGTGGAGGAAGACGGACATCGCGAGGGTCCCGTCGTGCTTACAAACTTTATAAATGGCGATGTTACTTCCGTTTCCCACTCATCAAAAAAACTTCCCCATGCCGGACAGGAGCCACGGGCGCCCCGCTCCATCATGCCGTTTCGAACGCCCTGGCCTCTTCGACCACCCATGACAGCCAAGGGGGAGGAGACGA